ACTTAGAACCTATTTCCCTGTCTTAAAGTGTAAATGTGTTTAAACACTTACAGATTGTCTTTAATGATCATTAATACAAACGAATAGGTTTAATAGACACACATGAAAAAAGACATAACTATTGTCAACATTTCTTAAAACACTGAATTGTGTGCAGGGGGGAGGATCAAATGCATGATGCCAGCAAAAATTCAAATGAATAAAAAATGAAGAAAAAATGTAAGCATGTAGCAAAAAAAATAGATTGTCAGTACAAATTAATCTGGTCATAATTAACTAATCAGCAACATGACATTCATTCATCTGAACTCCAAAATCTCATATCAAAGAAGAAAATTAGTCCTGTACTGTTATTTAACTTTTAATAGAACCAAGGATAGTGAGGGGAGGCAAGGAACTCTAAAATGTATGTGTATGAACACATTCCTAAAACAAAAGTCTTAAACAAAGACCAATTTTTTTCTAATCAGACACTTTAGTGTCTTTTGTGTCACAGGAGATAGAAGGTGTGTTCATGTGCAAATTCATGTGTCCACATGTACAGTTTACACAAACACTGTTTTACACAGACAAATAATAAACACAAATACTGATAACAAGAGTCAAAAAGAAGTGAAATTGGGCAAAATGGCACGCCAAAATATACAGGATCTAACATCAAATGAGAATATTTCCTACAGATTTTAGAGAAACAAAGTTAATAGTGCTCCAGGCACAAAAAAAAAAAAAAAAAAAAAAAAATATATATATATATATAATACAATATGTTTAGGACTTCAGACTACTTTCATATATCATATAATCAAAACATCCTTACCATACAACTTGTGTTTCTGTTGTACCAGCATTTGTGATAACTCATCTACAGCCAGCATAATGACATTTTCACAATACTGTTTAGAACTTTGCCATGTTAAGTTGTGTCATAGTGTTCACTGTTCACATCAATGACATAGATATCCATTGGCATTGGCCTTATTTTAAAGGAAAAACTATAATTAATAAAAATTACTAAGTAAGAGAGCAAAAAAGTAAACAAACGATACTAATAAAACTAAACAAAAAAGTCCCATGAATTTCAAAATAACCATAAAAGTATAAAAAAAAGAGGTAAACTAAATTCCTCACAAAGCAACAAATACCGCGTTTCCAACAGGGCAACTTTAATCACACTCGTACACCTGACCTCATCCGACTGCATCATACTCACTTGAGTAAAATTACACATATGCAATAAATGAAGATGAAGTACCAGTTAACTAGGCGCTGTATATATACAAGATCATGAGGAATAAAAACTTGAGCAATCTCATTTTCATCTGTAACAGAAAGGTATAGAATCAAGACAAAAGAAAGTGTTGTTTACAAATGCCCAAACTAGAGGTGAGGTGATATCAAAATAAAACTACTAAACAAATTATTTTGTGACCAGGACACCATGCATCCATTAGACTACTTACAGGGAAAGGGTCATCATCTCACTGTAACATAATACATTTCTAATGACAAACAAATTTACTTATTGACTCGGGGAGGTTTAAATGGTATACATGAGCACGAGAAAAGGCAAATAAAGTATGTTACATTCTAAATATGTGGACGGCTGTTTAAGTGACGCTGGTTATTAACATCCGTTTAGGAGCAATAAAGCCAACAGGTATTAACACTAATACACCTCAGGAATATAAGTCTCCTTACAAAATGTCTGTGTTGATTAATTTCATGTTATCATTTTTATGCCAAGCAAAATAATTTTGGCCTTTATACCAACTCTAAACTCATTGAAACTGATCTATCAGTTCATAAACTTGATGAAATGGTATCCCTGAGTGCAGTAAAACATACCAGCAATAAACCAACGTGCTTACATTGGCAGGGACATTCATTTTTACCTTGCTAGTGACAAGAACAGGTACTGCAATGTTGCTATGATAGGCAAAAATAACCTTTACAGAATGGCACTTTGAGACCAAAATCTTGTAAAAGTGCTGTTATTAAACAAAGTCTTTCAGTACTGCAGTGATGCTCATTGTTGCTTCACAAAAATGCCCCGTTACTATATTGCTACCATACTGTCACACAGCACTGTCCTCCAACCCGTGTTGCCTCATAGCTCTACCAGACATCTCAAATATTATCTGAAAGATCTATGCATACAACAGTGTTGCCTTGCCATATCTTAGCCATATAGCACATCAATGATGCTTCACTGTATTCTGACAGCTTATATGCTGCACTAAAATCTTATAAGGGGAGTCATTTTTATCCATCTCCAAACACAATGTTTTACATATTGCCTCAAAGCCCAACAATGCACCAAATGTTGCCTCAAAACCTACCTAACTGTCAGTGTTATACTATAGCACTGTCATGTTACAGCAGTGTCAAATCATGGCCATCATCAGTGTTATATTTCAAAAACACTTTATTACTCCAAGTTTACCTCACTGTAAATGTTGCAAAATAATATTGATAACAATGGCAGACAAATAATAATAGTGTAACGAAAATTAAAAATAATACAAAAAAATCAAATATTGAGGGAAAAAAATTACAATGTTAATACACTGTCAGATGTTACAACTTGACAACTCTACACTCATGACAATTCTTTCAACACAACAAATGACAATTCTTTCAACAAATGACATACTCAACTTAACATAAGAATGGCAATGTAGGCCTTCACAAACAAAAGGGCAGACTAGAACTATATGTTCCACTATAAATGACATCCCCCCTTAATGAATAAGAAAAAAAAAATATGCCCTTCAAATAAACATTAGGACTAATGGATATAATTAGTCATCACAGATACAAAGATTCTGGAATATTTGCTGAGGTTTCAACAGCATAAACACAGTATGATACACTTATAATAAAGCTTCTTCAAAATTAGTTTTCAAGGTAAAACTACAACATAAATCCATAATAAATGGTATCAGTAGGGCTTTATGACATCTGCATTGCATAAAAAATATGTACAGTACATGCTACCTCACGTGAGAGACAGAAACAAAGTTTTAATTTCTAGCAATTAATATCAAGGACCGAAGTCATTTACAGAAACATTTAGCCTTGCACTAAACTTTCTATGACATGAAAAACAAGATACCCAGTCAACTCATAGTCAGGTGGGTTATGTATCTCCCTATTAAAATAAACCAGAGTTTTTTTCCACATTCAATAGAAAATGAACACAGAAACACCCCTTTGTGTGTATATATATATTTTTTTTGTTGTTTTTTTTTCAATCCTTACATGACACCACAGAAACATCTAGACTGTTAACATCCTCTTTGATACATATTTTATTTGTTATTGTTGTTCTTGTTGGTGTTGTTGTCTGTTAATCAACTGCTCATACTTCTCAATGAAACTTCCTCACAAAACATTTCCACTTTTTCTTTAAATCTAGTTCCAAGAAGACAATGAATTTACTGTTAAATACTATGACATATATATATACATATATAACACAAAATAAAATATATTTTTGAAAAAAAGATAGAATGAAATATCACGAAACTGAAAAGAAAAGAAAAAGAGAGAAAGAAAGAAATAAAAAAAAAATAAATAAAAAAAATAAATAAATAAAAAAATAAATAAAAAATAACTTACAGTTTTCAAATCTGAACTTAAAATTCAATACTAATATTTTAGAGTACAAGAAAAGAAAGATTTTAACATATGATATGAAAAAAAGGAAAAATACAAAGTTGGGGAAACTTGTGAGGCCATCAGTGTGTGCATGGGAATGTAATTGTGTATGCGTGTGTGTGTGTGTGGTGTGTTTTTATGTGTGTGTGTGTGGTGTGTTTTTATGTGTGTGTGTGTGGTGTGTTTTTATGTGTGTGTGTGTGTGGTGTGTTTTTGTGTTTGTGTGTGTGTGTGTGTGTGTGTGTGTGTGTGTGTGTGTGTGTGTGTGTGTGTGTGTGTGTGTGTGTGTGTGTGTGTGTGTGTGTGTGTGTGTGTGGTGTGTTTTTTTTTTTTGTGTGTGTGTGTGTGTGTGTGTGTGTGTGTGTGTGTGTGTGTGTGTGTGTGTGTGTGTGTGTGTGTGTGTGTGTGTGTGGTGTGTTTTTGTGTGTGTATGTGTGTGTATGTGTGTGTGGTGTGTTTGTGTGTGTTTGTGTGTGTGTGCGTGTGTGTGTGTGTGTGTGTGTGTGTGTGTGTGTTTATGGGTGTATGTGTGTTTATGGGTGTGTGTGTGTTTATGGGTGTGTGTGTGTTTATGGGTGTGTGTGTGTTTTTATGGGTGTGTGTGTGTTTTATGGGTGTGTGTGTGTTTTTATGGGTGTGTGTGTGTTTTTATGGGTGTGTGTGTGTTTTATAGGTGTGTGTGTGTTTTTATAGGTGTGTGTGTGTGTGTTTTTATGTGTGTGTGTGTGTGTTTTTATGGGTATGTGTGTGTTTTTATGGGTGTGTGTGTGTTTTTATGGGTGTGTGTGTTTTTTTATGGGTGTGTGTGTTTTTTTATGGGTGTGTGTGTGTTTTTGTGGGTGTGTGTGTGTTTTTATGGGTGTGTGTGTTTTTATGGGTGTGTGTGTGTTTTTATGGGTGTGTGTGTGTGTTTTTATGGGTGTGTGTGTGTGTTTTTATGGGTGTGTGTGTGTGTTTTTATGGGTGTGTGTGTGTTTTTATGGGTGCATGTGTGTTTTTATGGGTGTGTGTGTGTTTTTATGGCTGTGTGTGTGTGTGTGTGTTTTTATGTATGAGTGTGTGTTTTTATGTGTGTGTGTGTGTGTGTGTGTGTGTGTGTGTGTGTGTGTGTGTGTGTGTATGTGTGCGTGTGCGTGTGCGTGTGCGTGTGCGTGTGCGTGTGCGTGTGCGTGTGCGTGCATGCGCCTGTCTGTCTGTCTGTCTGTCTTTGTGTATACCATGTACAGTACTAGCACCAGGGAAATGTTAGTCATCACAAACACTATCCAACTCACAAACCACATTAACTAATAGAGGTTACATGGCAGCACAGTTAAAATAACATCACTTTGAACTTTGTAAGTATACATGGACAGGACATAGTTTTCATTAACTAATATGCCCATGTATCACTTGTCATACACATCAAAATCCAATACTAACAGCTTAGTCTCTTCCGTCCCATTCCGGCTGCCAACTGCACATACTAGCTTTGTATCTGAAGCTCTTATGCGCCACACCACTCCCCCCGATCCACCCGACTCTAGAGCCACTAAGTTTCTTAGAAAATCTCCAGTGCGGACATCCCATAGCTTCACTGTTCCATCATCTGAAGACGTTACCACAAATTTGTTGTTGAACTGAAGACACGTAACTGCTGACCGATGCTTATTAGGACCTGTGAACAGAAGTTGTACTATAATATTTCAATATCCATATACGTTTCAAGATATCCTGTAGCATAACAAAGGATCAATTCTAAGTTTTGTGTGGTGTATATGCACCTTTAGTCATCTATGAGTGCAATACAGACCATAGTGCAAAGTGGGCACAGAGTGGTTACACTTCATTAGCCTGCTTACAGAACAAAATAGTGATGAGAATCAACTACTAGTGTATAAAATGAGGCTCAAAGCTACCTGTTTGAGAGTGGGCAGAAAGGAGGAAGGCAGGGAGGGAGGGAAGGGGAGAGAGAGAGAGAGCAAGAGGAGAGAGAGAGAAAGAGAGAGAGAAAGAGAAAGAGAAAGAGAAAGAGAGAGAGAGAGAGGGGAGAGAAAGAGGGGAGAGAAAGAGAAAGAGAGAGAGAGAGAGAGAGAGAGAGAGAGAGAGAGAGAGAGAGAGAGAGAGAGAGAGAGAGAGAGAGAGAGAGAGAGAGAGAGAGAGAGGGAGGGAGGGAGGGAGGGAGGGAGGGAGGGAGGGAGGGAGGGAAGGGGAAAGAGAGAGAGAGAGGGGAGAGAAAGAGGGGAGAGAAAGAGAGAGAGAGAGAGAGAGAGAGAGAGAGAGAGAGAGAGAGAGAGAGAGAGAGAGAGAGAGAGAGAGAGAGAGAGAGAGAGAGAGAGAGAGGGAGGGAGGGAGGGAGGGAGGGAAGGGGAAAGAGAGAGGGGAGAGAAAGAGGGGAGAGAAAGAGAAAGAGAGAGAGAGAGAGAGAGAGAGAGAGAGAGAGAGAGAGAGAGGGAGGGAGGGAGGGAGGGAAGGGGAAAGAGAGAGGGGAGAGAGAGAGGGGAGAGAGAGAGGGGAGAGAAAGAGAGAGAGAGAGAGAGAGAGAGAGAGAGAGAGAGAGAGAGAGAGAGAGAGAGAGAGAGAGAGAGAGAGAGAGAGAGAGAGAGAGAGAGAGAGAGAGAGAGGGAAGGGGAGGGAGAGGGAGGGAGAGAGAGGGAGAGAGAGGGAGAGAGAGGGAGAGAGAGGGAGAGGGAGAGAGAGGGAGAGGGTGAGAGGGAGAGGGTGGGAGGGAGAGGGAGAGGGGGAAGGAGAGAGGGAAGGGAGGAGAGAAGAAGGGAAGAGAGGGAGGAGAGATGAAGGGAGGAGAGGGAGGGAGGGAGGGAGGAAAGGGAGGAGAGGAGGGAGGGGGGGAGGGAGGGGGGAGGGGGGAGGGGGGAGAGGGAAAGAGAGAGAGAGAGAGAGAGAGAGAGAGAGAGAGAGAGAGAGAGAGAGAGAGAGAGAGAGAGAGAGAGAGAGAGAGAGAGAGAGAGAGAGAGAGAGGGGGAGAGGGAGAGAGGGAGAGGGAGAGGGAGAGGGAGAGGGAGAGAGAGGAGAGGGAGAGGGAGAGAGAGGGTGAGAGGGAGAGAGAGGAGAGAGAGGAGAGGGAGAGAGAGGTGAGAGGAGAGAGGGTGGGAGGAGAGGAAGAGGGGAGGGAGGGAGGGAGGGAGGAGAGAGAGGAGAGAGAGAGAGAGAGAGAGAGAGAGAGAGAGAGAGAGAGAGAGAGAGAGAGAGAGAGAGAGAGAGAGAGAGAGAGAGAGAGAGAGAGAGAGAGAGAGAGGAGGTAGGGGGTTGGCAGCATGAAGTATGCAATGTATATAGCACCAGATTTACCATTCCATGTCACTATATTTCATTTGCAAGAGGCAGAGAATGTGCATGATTGACTCTGGGAGAGGAGGCCTACAAAGGAAATGGAAGTATGGGATGATATTGAAAGTGTCACTGGAGGAAATTGCCATAGGGTGCTATATATATCCGTTGATACTTTATACATCTTATAAACAACCACAAAATAAAATGCAACAAAGAGAAAATCAGGGATTAAACCATCTAATGATGTCAATATCAGTCCACTTACACCGAGACAGTCAATCTGAAGAAAGTGAACTTAGAAAGATTATGGCATTTGAACTTTAGCAGGGTGCAAGTTAAGAATTTATTTTTTGCTTTAAAATATGACTTAGAGTTCAAAGATTAACCCTTTCCTGACAGGGAAAATTAATAAAAAATGGAGGAAATTCTGTACTCATTTTTTATATTTTTGTAATATGTCCCTGTTACTAGATGGCTCTGCCAATGCTTAGCCATAAAGGATTTTACCTTTCCTTGAATAGGCACAAAAAACATATTTTTGCTTGTGCTATAAATATAGATGGTGTTATTTTTATCATAAACATTATAATTACTAAAATGTTATCAACATTTGTAACAGCAAAATAAGATAATGTTAAATATTTTCGTAAATCCATAGGCGAGACAGGCAGTACTCGTAACTGGCTCATTGGTGATTTAGTATAAGTGTAGCCATCTATGTGTAAAAACAATTAAACAAGTAAACTCACAATGAGCTTGTACGTACATGCCATGCCCGTCGGTAAGGGGTTAATATGAACTGAAGGGAAAAAAATCACCACTAACATATAAACTTATCATCAGGTGTCAATATGTATGTGTGGTTGACAAAAATGATCAAGGTGTAAATGATTGTAGGGAAGAGTGGTGTAATATCTTTTTGTGTGTACAAATAAAAATATATTGTTTTTCATTCTTCCATAAGACCACAATAATTTGCATTAGGTGAAGCAGACATAATGGACTCTACAATGATATCAGTCTATATCAACTGATGAAATCTGTCAGCCTAATAAAAAATTAAGTAAAATGAAAGAGACAGAAAGGCCTTGGCATATCACTCTGGCACTCAGCAAGTAAATCTATTCCAATCTCCAATATGTTTCTGAAATAATGGCTAGTTGAACACCTGGAGTAGGATCCACACAGGAATGCATTCATATATTGCGTATATTGTAAGCCAAAGTTTTATATTTTCTATTTCACAACTATATCACCAAAGAAAGATTGCAGATGGATGAAGTAGTTAGAATACTATGATTCAGGGTAAGAGCTAATACACACACTCAACTATTCCTTAAATTACATTGCCAGTATCCCCTGCAAGATACTTAAAGGAATTTCACAATCAATGCCAAAACTAATAAAATACAGGACAAGTCCAAAGCTTTCCATTTGCAGTCATACATTGTATTGAATTTAATCTCCAAATGAAGTATTTATAATACATGATAAAAATGTATCTTTACACTGGAAAAAAACAGATTAATATATGTATGTCTATCATGCCATGCTGATCAGAAGAGCCATCTCACCAAGGACATGAATATCATATCACTATCTCAATCTAATTACAGTTACAATCCTTTTACCATATGAGAATACTGCTAAAGAGTAAAGACAATAACAAAAATTCCTACAAACCAGATAACATTTGCAGGCTCCAATGCCCTGTTTTGTAGAAATATGCAGTCTACTGATGTAAGCAGGGAGTAATTTAGTATAAACTACCAGAGTGCTCTCTCCATTTAAAAATGGATTCTTACAAACCATTATCAACTTTTTCAGGTCAGAATAATAAAATTTCCCTTACAAAATCAAAATTATACACCTAATCACCTTAAATAGCTATCATCAAGGAAGACACCAATAATATTCATAATACCAATAAAATTATAGTTTTTACTAAGACTGAAGTGAACATTCTACATTACCTAATAGTTAATTTAAATATTAAATCAGAAAATGGTAACAATGACGCCAACTCACCTGAGAGAGTTTGAAGACACTGCCCAGTGACAATATCCCAAACTTTAACCGTCGAATCTGCATTTCCCGATATGAGTATGTTGTTTTTGAGCTCCATCCCCGAGGTTAGACTTTGGTGGCCCATTAGCGTGTGTCTACACTGTCCTGTCTCAACGTCCCACACTCTGATACTTGTGTCCAAGGACCCGCTAACCACATGTAACCCGTCAAACTGATGAACAAAAAGATCGGTTAGTAACTGCATATAGCAAAAATTACAATGAATTTCTAGTATTTTTAACAGGCAATTAGAACTATTTCTGTAGCAATCATCTTTACTTAAAATTTCTTCCAATAAACTTTTTGTATTACAGACACAAAGAAAGTATGAAAAACATATTTTTCTACTTTTAAAAGATATAATGCTAATGTGAACACAAATATCAGCTGCAATTTGTTTTCAAGCAGACATTTATGCCAAAAAGCACACTACAAAATACTCAACTTGCAGTCAATCAGTACCTGTAAAGAGTAAACTCGATTTGTGTGTCCCTGTAGAGTATACAAACATTCTTCTCGATCAGGGTTCCATACTTTGACCATGTAGTCATATGCCCCTGAAACTACTAGCCTCCCATTGTACTGAACACATCTCACAGCTGCCACGTGGCCCACAAGAACATGTTCACAAGCTCCTGTTACCACGTCCCAAACTCTTAAAGTAGCATCCCGAGACCCACTGACGACTCTGAAAGTGCAAATGATAAAAATGAGATTCATATAAGATATATATATATATTTTTTTTTCTGAGTTCAATTCATTAATGTGTTTACTTAGATTATGGTAGCAATCAAATTCAAGTAAACTTAAAATGAAAGTTTAAATCAACTTTTTAATAAAATGTAAATAAATTCTCTGCCTACTTACGTATATATAACTATGGTTTCATTTACTACAATATAAATAAATTTGTTGATGACAATAATTGATCAAAAATAATTAGTCTATCAATGATAATGCATTAACCCAATGCCACGCGGAAAATGCTGTGCTCAACTTGGAATTTTTTTGTGAAATGTCTCTGCACATAGATGGCTCTGCTAGTGCTTTGCCACAAAGGAGTCAATTAGTAGACCTTGTGATCTTTCCTGATTTCACCTTTCCTTGAATTTGCGGGAAAAACGTTTTTTTTTTACTAATGCTATCAATATCAATTGTGTTATTTTTATCATAGACATTATAATTACTATACTATTATTGACATTAGTAGTGGCAACATAAGAAAACATAAAATATTTTTGAAAATCAAGGAAAAGGATAAACAGGTAAGACTAGTAGTACTTACAATTGGCTCATTGGCAAGTTAGTACATGTGGAGCCATCTATATGTAAAAACAATAAATAAAGTAAACCCAAAGTGGGAATGTCATGCACCCACCAGTTTGTGGTTAAAGGGACCATTCCTAAAAGTGGTTGGGGGAGCGAAAAATGGGGGGGGGGGGGGTTAAATCATATTTTGTTTATTTAAGCAATCCACATCTTTTGGTACTAAATTTGTTGATTTTCCACAAAGGAGGGAGATGCCTCACCCAAAAAAACATTTATTCCCACATATGTCTCTTGCATACCACTATTGGCTGCACACTTTGTAATGAAAAAATATCAGCATAAACATTGACAAAATCCAAAGAGATTCACACAAGTTTTTTTTTTCAAAATCTGCCTTTATTTCCCTTAGAAAAAAAAAAAAAAAAAAAAAAAAAAAATCCACTACCAAAATTTCCCATTTTCCCCTAATTCTCAAAATTTTTCAAAAAAAGCTCTGTGCATTTTGATAACCCTTCAACTGATGCAAGCAAAATCTGAATAGAATAAGAACTGTTCATGAATAGTGTTTTTTTAACAAAGGAGAAAAGACTGGAGATGTTTCAATCCATTTTCTGTTTATTTCCTTCAATCAGTTTTTATCACCCAAGTACCAGAGAAACTATTCATTTCTTTAAGGCGAGACAGGCAGTACTCATAATTGGTTCACTGGTATTTGTGTAGTCATCTATGTGTAAAAACAATTAAACAAGTAAACTCACAGTGGACCATGTACGTACATGCCAGGTCCATCGGCATATATGTAAATATGTATACATCTGTAAATATGTGTACATACACGTGTATTAAAGTGCAGAGATAACGAGAATCAGTTAGAGTAACAGGCAGTTCGTAGTTGCCGAGTGACTTTGAACTGTTACTTTATTCATTGGAAATAACTGTTTAGAAAGCATTCACATTCTGAAATATAAACTCGCCACTGTTTGTTTCCCTTGGACGCTTCTTTTCTTTATGTAATAAGTCAAAGTGATTATACATCAAACAAGTTTAAAGAGGTATTTGAAATTTCATGTTATTATTTTAAGATTTTTAGTCTTTTTATTCTTCAGTCTTTTATATTTATTTAAATGTAGCTATATCATTACTATAACCCAATTTCTTGATTGTTTGGGATCCAATGAACAAAAAAAATTGTAAAATCTTTGCTGTGGGCAAAGTCTTACTGGGTTCCACAAACATGAAAACTCTTGGGAGGCCCCTGTGTGGCTGCGCGGACCACGCGGTCAACCTACCCATCTGATTAAACAAGTCATGTTCGTTTACTTTTCAAGATAGAGATTTGCCACTACTCTGGCATTACTGTTATATATATGATGTTTCTGTCACAATCAAATCATATATTCTACATTTATAATTTTTAAAATTAAAGATTATCTTTATTTTTTCATCATAAAACCTTCACATTAGAAGGAATATGTTATAGTAAGACACTTTAATTCTCCCTTGATGAATTTCAGTAGGTAATGTCAAAATAAAATGTTATATTTTAGCTCCAGAAGGAGGAAAATATAATCATGTAAAAATTGCCGATATCATATGAGTGCCTTGGATTCACAAACCCCGGTCACTAGAGTTTTTCTTTGCGGAGGCTTATATTCTCGCATTGGTAATTCTACATTCGTAGACATGTGTGAAAATGGGTATAACTCATTTTCAACAAACCTAACCCCCCAGACCCAACTACCCCCACCAAACTGAGGGATGGTCCTGTTAAAAAAAAAAGTCTGGAAAAAAGTAACACATTTAACAACTTACTTATTGGCATGTAGATGGAGACATCTGACTGTGGATGTATGGCCATACAATGTATGTATACATTCCCCCGTCTCAGCATTCCAAACACGAAGGGTTCGGTCTGTACTACCACTCACTATACGACTACCAGACATCTGAGATGACCAAACACCTCCAGTGTGCCCAGTCAATGTTCTCATACACTGAAATACAATAGGTTATAGATAAAAGATTTGTTTCAGTTGGTAATTACAAATAAAATACCATCTATCCTCAAAAAGTCATACATGTGTAACAAAAATCAAATTCCCAAAAACAAAATTAAGGGCATATATCTGTGTTTTTTGTTCTGTCACACCCATCTGTAAATTTTTAACAGCCAGGCAAGTATCTAGCATAATCAGCTAAGAACAACCAAGTGTCTGTCCTGATCAGATCAAGTTAGTTTGTTTAGGTGTACCAGCAACTTAGAACACTAAAAGATAAAGATTTCCATAACCAATGCTTTATAAAGTTTTAAAAATAACAAAAATAAATATAAGACCTAATACATCCTCAGGTCTTGATCAAATTTTTAAACAGAAAAATACTAACCTTCCCAGATGTTGCATTCCATACTTTCAGTGTGTTATCATCTGAACCTGATACAATTATATTTCCGCAAAATTGTAGGCATGTGATGACATGGTCGTCATGGCCTTTCAATACCCGTGGTGACCGTAGCTTAGCTACACGCCAATTAGTTTCTATCCTATGTTGTCGCATAAATGCCGCCTGAAACATGGTGCCTTGTTAGTATGCAAAATTCCAGTTGCAGTCAGTTAACTTTAGAAACATAATTCAATTTTGTTTATCACTTTCACAAGCAAATACAGATCCCTACCTTAAATGGTGATACATGGCTCACACTTGTACCCTTTTTCCGTCTACGATCCATAAAAACAACATGATCCTCAATTCCAGCCTCACGACACTTTTCTCTCCAAAGAAGGTTGTCCGCAGCCAGGATGTTCCAATATTTACAAGTCTGGGCTGCTCTTAAGAGATCTTTTGGGGGCAGGAAGCTAAGGACATAGAGAGCCAACTCCTTTGGCAATAGAGAAATGAAATCTCGCTGAAACTGCGGGAGGATGATTTCATGGATGTGCCTTACCTGTTGGACAAAGCACATTTCATTGTTGTAACAATTTTCACAATATTTTTTTTTAATTCTAAACATTAATAGAAATAGCCCATGATTACACAGAGTTCATCTTTTCTGAAAAAAATAAACATCAGATATATATTTTTTACACATTCAAACACTGACAACTACAACAATGACAGTGAAATCAGCTTTGAGAATCTTTTGCATTAGATATTAACACAAAAGTACTATCTTAGAAAAGCAATTATACTCACTTGGTTCAGATCACAAACATCTATTAACGAATCTAAAGCATGAAGCTTTTGTGCAGGTGACCAAGTCTGGTATTTAGCCAACCATGACTTAAGGCCCGCTGGGGGAGACACCTTGCGAGCTGCCAATGCACAAACTTTTCTGCGACTGCTTTCACCGCTGAAAAGAATTTTATATTAAAGCCTTAAATGACATATGTAATATTCAATAATGCTTAATATTTTCCAATAATTTATTTACATATCTAACAACAATATCTTTCATGACAATAGCAATGATTATTATCCACTATCTTATAAAGGGCTGCTTTTCAGAATTCTACTAAAAGTTAAAGCACTTATAATTTAGCAAGAGGCACATTCATAATAATTATATATTTTCTCATTGTATTTCTAAAAATATATATTTTGCTTAAATTTCTAACATCATCTCATACTGGAGTTTAGTAACGATACCTTAATTACAAATTTTACATAAAGAGAAAATGTGAAAATTACCTGTCCTCCACAGCTTTACAAGATTTCTTTACAGGACAAACTCCTTTGGAGTCAGAACAAACTTCAGATTTCCGTTTAACCTGAAAATAAACAAGTAAGGGAAATTAGTATGAATGCATCTCAAAGTGAAAAATTTTAAACAATATTTTACTATCTACTGAGTGCCTGAGATAAAAGTAAAATTGTGTAAACTTTACACAGAACAAATGATTTCCTAAATAAAAGATGTTTACTTAAAACTTGAGTACCAAAAGTAATACAAGGTAAATGGCATTTTCTTATAGGGGAGAGGGAGAGGGAGAGGGAGAGGGAGAGGGAGAGGGAGAGGGAGAGGGAGAGGGAGGTGTAAATATTTGCAGAAAGATTTACAGAAAATTTCAAAGCCTGATGATTAACCCAATGAACACAGCTCTTAAAAATAGCAAACCAAACCAAGCATTGGCTGCAGTGTACCAAAGTCAGATGGACAGGAAACATGTTTTTTTCCTGTTCACTACATTTTCATACAAGGTTCATATAAACTTTCAAAAAAAGTACTTTCAGGCTTATACTTCACAGCAGCGTACCCTGACATAGTCTACCTCTACATCAACACCTGTCACACAGACACAAGAGGACATAGAAGATCATCTCTCTGATGACACATGATTACTACACCACCTTCATGGTGTAAGTATAGGGAAAGAACATAATGCTCAAATTACTTACAGATTGACACTTTTCCTGATAATGTTAAAGTGTTCTTAAACAAAAGTAAGCACAAGAATGATCTGAATATTTAGCCAAGCAACACTGTCAGCTTAGCAGTCACCAGATCACATGTTATAAATATAAAACATATAAACAAACAACCTCTCCTCAGACATTTTGAAAAAATTAAAATACGTTGAGTTGAGGAGAGAAACATAGATATACAGGATTTCTGCTACAACAGTAAACAATACTGCCGTACAAAGCATCATTTCAGTATCTTTTATTATTGGTGCAGTCTATAGACACCCTAATGCATCTTCGGAATCTTTTGAATACTTTAAAAAGCTTCTTAGAGAAATGTCATTAAAAAAGAAACCACTTTTCATCTTGGGTGACTTAAAGGATACTCTGACAAATCTAATGCTAAGTTAGTTAAGATAACTAATCTTACACAGATTACAGAAAACACCTCGTCTCTATTAGATTTAACCTCTTACTTATGGGTTATGTCTATCAGTGTCATAACAAACCACTCAGTCTGCGGGGGACACCTGAACGCACGGTGACATGCCAGAGTGCTTTAAGTGGGACATTTGGCTTGATGTTGTGGACTCCCACACCCAGTGTCTTCCTGTTGCCAGGTATCTCACAAATTACTGATGAAATTTGTAACAATAGACAAAAATCAGGTAAATTTGCTTACAATGTGTGACATTTTCTCTTTTTTTTCATGAAATTCTCCTTAAACTATTAAATCATAAAATTGGTACCTTTTGGTTTAGAAGTTATTTAGGTACAATGACCCAATCAGTGAGAATAATGTCATCAAAAATATATAATCAAAACAACCAGTATCTTTTGGTGTTAAACAAGGATCTATATTAGGCCCAATCCTATTTACAATGATTTAAATGATTTCTCAACCACAGCCCATAAATGCCTTTTAGTGCAGTATGCCAATGATTCACAGTTTCTCCATACTGACTCAGTAAACAACTTAAACAGATTAATAAGAAACACCAAGCATACTCTTATACAAGCAAAAATGTATTTTAACACTAATGGCCTTATACTAAATCCACATAAAACTCAATGTACATTCATAGGTAGTTGGCATAGCATAGCTAATATTCCCAATAATACAACCACAGAATTTGAAGGCTGCTCTAACAAGCCAAACACTTCAGTGAAAAATCTAGGAGTACACTTAGACAGGCACATGGCATTTGAAAGACATGTTGACAATATATACAGATAGTTATGGGCACATTGATGTATCTTAACCACATAAGAAATCAAATCATTACTGAAACTAGAATCATGGTTGTGCAAACTCTAGCTCTAAGCTGTTATAATTCTATTGATATTATGATTATTAATGTTATTAACCCAATGGCGACAGGTGAAGAAAACGAAAAAAAAAAATCTACGCTCTGGCAAACAATGGCGGAGTGCCGGCTTTGAGCACGTGAGTTCGGTACATCAGCCCGAATCACTGGCTCACCGTGCTTTGTCGTGGCACCGCAGCGTACAGCCGCACTCCAGCTTTCTAGTGGTTTGTTTTCATGCCTATCGGCGTCACCCATCGTTAAGGGGTTAAAATCTTGGTAACATTAAAGACAATGAAATAATACAAAAGACACTTTCCTAAAATCAAAAAAGGGTAAACAGGTGAGACAGGAAGGACTAATAACTGATTCCTTGGTGACTATGTGTAAATACAATAAATAAATAAACTTATATTACAGTGGGGATGGCATGCATTCTTGCCATCTGTGCCATTTGGGTTAATAGAACACCTATTCAATAGTCAAGTGTAAATACAGATGAAATTTTGTAAAGAATAACAATTAAATTATGGAATAGGGTTTGTATTTGAATTTGAGCTTACTATTTTTGATTTTGACACTCCACTGTTTGATAACCATATGATAAAACTTATTTTCTGGTGTGTAAATCAGAGCTTTACAAATATTGAAAATCCAACTTAGTCTCTATTGAAAGCTGAAAATTTGACAGAGAAATTACATGCCAATTATTCAGAATAAAGATTTCACACAAAAAAGTGAAAAGGTGAAATTGTGAGAGGAAAATAATTTACATTAGGACTGATCACAGAAATGAAACTCTTTCACAGTAATTATTTCTGTAAAAGTGACTATCTTCATAAAATTCACCACTACATTGTAATTTATTACATATAATTACCATTAATCAGATTCTATATCCCAAATTTTTCTTCTTTATAGTTCCTTCCATAAAAACAAAATGGTAATACAAGTAATAAAAGCTACATTAAATCATCTTGTGAATCTGTGGTCGTATGTCATTCTTTGAGAAGCATTTGGATGCCAGGAGATATATAGATGAAAAAGTAGAGCACATGAACTTATGACTGCTTTTAATGCCCTAAAGTGTATTCTTATTGGTATTCAAAATCTAGGCCGACTATCTGGGGAACTTCAGGAGTCAAAACCAAAATGTTCTTTCCTTAGACCTACCTCCAAAAATCTATAGTATATGATATACCTAGAATTTTGTTCATTATCATTGTGCAGTTATGGATATCTAGAAAAATTATCTAAACCTTGATCCAGATGACCTGACCCCTACATCATGAAAAACTTTGGCTTGAGGGACCTGTAATGTAAACATACCATCATGGGAAACTTTGGCTGTGGGCCACGGTGATACGAACTTCCCATTGTGAGCATTACAGCTGAAGGCCAGGGTGACAATGACTCACCACAAGTGCACAAACCTCTTAAAGGGAGATTAGGCTTGTTTGATGTTTAGGAAGGGGTTTTTGCATTATTTCCATCAATAAACAAGTGTGGAAGTTACTGTCCATTAGCCATGACTGGAAGAGTGCTGGCTCCAGGGAGGATACAAAGAAAAAAAAAAGAAAAAGAAAAAAAAACTTAATGGATAAAGTAAGTCAAATGACAAAAACAAAATTTTAAGAGTAGCAAAAAAAAAAAGGAGAAAACAATCCAAAGGGGATTGGAGTCTTACCACCACATAAAAATGTTCGTGAGCACCAGGCATACAAACTACACACCCACAGAGTGGTCAGTCGCATAACTCTAATGCCATATTTTGAGCCATGTGATGGCAGTGAAGCATCCAGATCCAATGGGTTAATATTCATATAATTTCACAGAAAATATATTTCTACTGAAACAGATAGATTAAAAAAAAAAAGACACAGATGATAAGCACAAAACTGACAGATCAGTGGCATTTCTAACATTTGAATGTTTGTGCTAACTTCATAATTTCTCCATCTTTCAACCAATAATCATTAATGATTCACGTTAGGGGTATAAGTTATAGGACTTCACACTGCCAATTACATCTTGAAGCCAGTCTGTACATGTTTATCATAACCAATCTCTGTATTTTGGTAGCTGGAGGCATTTCACGAACCAGAGCTGATTCTGAGCTGGGAAACTGCATTAATCACTTCTTTACTGAAAGTACGTTTGTTATACAAACATAACCCTTAGACTACCCATGCCAGAACAGCAGCAACTGGGGACTTTTAATCATTACATGATGACATAATCAATATCTTAAGTTTGAAATATTGTTAGCACATACAACAGAGAGCAGGCTCAGTTGCATATGAGATAGGATGTTACTAAAGCATGAGTAGCAGTTTAGCCAGGACTAGATATGACATCATCTTCATGAGAGTATTAAAAGGAATTTTTTAGTATAAAAGTGGAAGATCTTGTTGCATATATCTGGCCATTGGTGTGAATCTAAATTACAGAAGGAATAAGTCTGACACAGGAATAAAAGATATGAATATAAAATGAGCCTCCTCATTATGTAATTTTTCAATAATAATATTATTCAACAACTGGAAGATCACGTTAGATTTATGCACGACCATCAGTATATAAACAAATCACACAGTTATCTCTGTGGATGTGTCATTACAAATACAATGCCACTCCCACTGCAGGAGGGGAATAGTCACACTGGTAGGGTATAGAAATGGTTCATTTAGACTGTGAGGAGCAGGTTGGGAAAGAAGAAGTTAACTAGCCCTAGAACCAGATTTAAATCAGGAAGTAACACTCTTTTATACAGGTGTTAGCACAATATATAGTATGCTAGCAGAAGTAGACCTCATTCTTTTTTAAGAAGCACTGAAAATCTGTTGTGTATGATTGATCTGAGTATTTGCTGAATGTAATAAAGTAATTATGACATCAAAAGCACATATTCAATTGCCTATATTGTTTGATTTCCTTTACTACAAAATACCATTGGATTCAGGTGCTATGATCATCACGTCACAATAAAACTAGGCTGAGGTGGCAGGAATATCCTCAAAAAACTTAGTTGAAGGCCAAGGTGCATGGAATGTGCCATC